TGACTGCCTGTGTCATCTGATCGGCTCTGATCTCCTGTCAGTTCTGTATTCCTCAAGGCTTTGGCATCTGGAACTCTGTGTGGCAATTGCTGTGCCTTGTCAGCCGACCGGCTGGTATCACCTCGTTCTATGGGCACGGTCTGAACTCTAAACCAGGTTATTGACCTACGTGTTCAGATCATTCTTTGTGAGGTTTTCTTAGTCACTAACCTGTGTGTCCTCTTGCCAGAATAACCTACCATGGACACCCTAGCCGCTGCTGCTGCAAAACTGCAAACCATCTGTCGTTGCTTAAATAAATGCTTTTTAAGTTATCCCACTGTCTGTACTGGCTCCCTCTGTTCTAAATCATTACATTTTCTGGTTTTATTCTTGATATAACAGTTATTTTATGCACTAGGCAGCTACATTTTTCAGTTGAGTATCCATAGATATGACATGATTAGCGAAATAGCTATGGCATTAACCAGAGGCAGAATCAGTGCCTAAATGCCTGAATCAAATTCTATAAACCATACAGACTGAGTTTACTTTTTTTTTTTTTGCCTCCAAGAGACTAGAGTAGTCTGCCACTTTATACATATGAAACCTAAATATGTTGGAAAACTGAGCTAGAGAACGGCTCAACTCAAGTTTGGCAGCTGACCATGTGGACCATCTCCTTATTATTCAAGGCTCCCTGAATTAAAGTGTAGGGAGAACTTAACCAATCAAATAATAATTGTTTCCCTCTACAAAAATCCATTCAAGGGCTACCTTCTGACCAGGGCAATTATCTGGGGTAGATTCCTACCCTACTAATTAGTTATTTTTCACTTGTAAACATAGAGGGGTATTTATGGCACCAGAACACCAAGCTAGTGGCTGGAAATAAACATTAAAAATGGGAAACATTTTGAAGTATGTGGTGTTTTGCTTGTTTCAAATCTGTTGTTCTTGAGGTTGGTCACACATTGTTATCAGAACTAACACAGGAGAAGAAAAACATTTCTCTTGGAGGCTTTAAGAATTAACAACTGTTGAGTATGTGCTCATTTCATGTTTGAAAACCAGTCATATAAAAATATGCGGGACCAATAAAAACTGTTGAATTCAAGGGCTGGTGTTTTTTATAATTAAAACCAAAGCTTATTATTGCTAATGACCAAAGTGAAGTGTTTGGCAGGGGACATTACATCTGTGCCCACGCAGTTAACCTAAATGATCTGCAGCGCCTGAACAACTTATAAACAAAACCGTCTCCCTCTATAGGAAAAACATTTGTAAGTATGTCATTTTTTTGGCATTCTCAGTGCAGTTTTAGAGGTTTGTTAAGAGGACATCGTAGAGCTAATAGAAATGCTTGATTTATCCCTTTTTTGGCATAAAGGGCTTAAAGTGTATTGAGAAATGATGCATATTATTTTCACATATGAAACACTATCCTATTATGTGGTTATTAAAAGCCAGTAAAGTTTTAAGTCCTTGGAAAGTGTGTAAAACTACAAAATGTAAATTAATCATAAAACTACAGCTTTACTTTGAGGTAATTGTAAAGACGTCCAGATCCTCTTACATGTGATCCCTGACTACATGCACGGTTTTCACCCAGGGTGAACTTCCACGGAGCTGTTGCACACATGTCAAATGCTTGTGAAAAAACATGAGACCAATAAAACAAAACGGAATCTGGGTCCGAGCAGCAGAGAGGGGCGACAGACTACAGTGGCTGTTTACAGCCCATGATAATGGCCCTCATATAAAAGGCGCAGTGGGCTAATTTTGCCAGAGGGCTTGGGACACTGGGCAGCTACTTTGTTAAAAAAGGTTCATGAGGCAATGTAGAGTGCCCTTAGTCACTGTAACTGCTTGCAAATGAAGAAATTATTCTTTACACAATTTTTTCATAATTTTATTATCATTTTGTTATCTTATCAAATTGTTGGAAAAAATAGTTGTAATCATATTTGAACCATTTGTCCCAATCTTTCACCCCCAGGGAAAATAAACTTATTTGCTCTCTCTACAACCCACAGCCCACCAAAGTTTAAGTTTATCATCAACATGAAGATGGGAGAACACCCTTGATATTTGCAGCTACCCACAGATATGAGCCAAAGGTATTGCGGAGAAAAGTCATTAGGTCTGATAAAGCAAATAATTAGATGTGTTTAAACAATATGTTGAATGTAAAGAGGGGTCCAGTCTTTTAAACTTTAAAACAGCACTACATTACAAAAGCTTTATTTTACTACAGGTAGTTGTGGTATAGTGCACAAATGGGCTGAATTACAATAATGGTAGATTTCCTCCTAATTCTTCTTCTTCAACACGAAACAGAAGATAGAAATGTCAAATATGGCCATAGCTGTCTTGGGTGGGGATTTAGAAAAGACTCTTCATCCATACAAATGCTTCATCCAAATACAGTAAATCATTAAGGGCTGTTTATCCAAAGCAAGCGTCAACAGTCACTTTAAAAGTGCTGTCCGAATAATCAGCAAAGAAGGTGGAAGAAAACGGAGCCTGTATTCTTCCTATTATAGTTCCTTAAGCACTGGAACCTTGCAGGGTTCCACCATCCATTGTGTGACATGGTGTACAGGTAAAGATCCCTTTATTGAAAAGCAACAAAAATAAATTTCTTCACATGTGCTGCATGAGACACAGGCATTGTTTGCACCTTCATATGTTTTGGTTTGTGCAATAAAGAGAGCTTTAGCCATTACCCTTATTTGTGTAACCTGTGTCTTTTGTGGTTATTTTTCCAAAGGTTGTAGTTCCAGTTTTTCAAGTATCAATCAGGTGCTATTCGGTCTCATAATGATGACTTGAAGGCTTAAGGGTTTTGTGATTTGGCACAGCAGTGCACTTCCTTTCCTAGGGTTAGGGTTTTTACTGTTGACCCCATGAAAAGTGAGGGAACAAGAGCTAGTGGCTCGGATTTGCTGTATTCAGACCCGGCCATAGACTAACATCAGAGGGCATACAGTACAGAACAATGACAAACAATGTTCTCATGTACTGAGGGAGGATTGGAGAATTACATGGAATGCAGGTGTGTTAATTAGCAGATTATGTGGAGCAGCTGAGCAAGAAGGTAAGAGGGGAGAGTTGTTAACATGAATAAAACAGAATTAAGATCAAAATGGAAATCAAACCTACAGAAAAACCCGACAGCGATCTGAGATAAGTTATTCTAAATGTACAAAGAACTGGACCCAAAAACAAAGTAAAAAACAACACAAAGTAGTTAACACATCTGGCAGCACTATAGAGCAGCGGTCCCCAACCTTTTTTGCACCAGGGACCGCTATATGTCAGACAATATTTTCAGGGACCGGCCTGGAGTGGGTGGGGGGATGTGTGTGTGTGTGTGTGTGTGTGTGTGTGTGTGGGGGGGGGGGGGGGGGGGGGGTGTGTGTGAATACGATCAAGTAAAATGATACGACTGGCATAAAATCAAGTACAAACAGCATAAAAATAAAACAACAAGCCGGTCCCATCTAGGCGTAATTGGAGAAAATGACAGACGAAGTGTGCTCCTGATGTCCAGTCTGCTCCGTAGCTTTGTTTTGGTCGCTGTAACCGCAGAAAATCCCGCTTCACAAAAACAGGATGTTATAGATAGGATGAGTCTTGAACTGAATTAACCTGTGTCAAGAGGCACAGATGCACCGACTGATGTAATTGGGAGAGAATACCGCAATTTTTTATATTTTTCCAAAATAAAACATCACTCAGACTCTGATCGTCGATAAATTATATAGGCTATATATATATATATATATATATATATATATATATATATATATATATATATATATATATATATATATATATATATATAAAAGTCTTATCCCTCCGGTACAAAATGACCCACGGACCAGTACCAGTCCGCGGCCCGGTGGTTGGGGACCGCTGCTATAGAGTACTAGCCTGGGTGCCATTCCGAACTTAGTCCCGCCCACAAGGTTTGAGGTCGGGAAGTTCGGTCTGGCTCTGCTCCATAGTAGCGCGAGTATTATCGCCCACCCTCTGGCGATCCAATCAAATTGTCAGGGCGGGCTTTATACGATGATGGACAGATGATCAACAGTAACGTAATCAAACACGTGACCAAAGCGTGCTTGGGCGACAACAACAATGGCTGCCGCCGGAGAGTTGAGGTGAGTAGATTCTGCTATTAGGTCTGTTCTAGAAGATATCGACAGCAAATTAATTTTAAAAGAGGAAAAGAGAAACGCCATCACGGCTCATCTTCTTATTCTAGGCGCGCAACTGCACGCTTTGATTTTTGTTGACAACAACTATGCCTCGCTTAACATACGTCACGCACTCCGTTGCTCTTATTGGTTGTACGTCTATCCAATTGAGTGCAGAGGCATTTTTTTTTCCTGGTCCGTTCAAAACACGCCCCATAATCACAGCTCTATGGAGCAGTATTAGACTCATATTCTGACTAGAATTGAGTAGGACTACGTCAGGCTAATAGAGTACATAAACATCAGGGCAATCATAAAAATCAAGAAAACTCCCAAACTATTTAAAACAACAACTGGTTTTTCCAACCTGACAGTTGTCCAAGAACAAAATCAAAACTTGGTTTGGATTAGTTTTAATAATACTATTAGTGGGGGTTAATAAACATAGTAAACGTGTGTGTGTGTATAATTCTGAGGAATATCCCTGTGGAATTCAAAGATGTGCATTTGTGTATACAATCACAAATTTTCTAAAGCCCTATTTGTATGTGATAAACATGTCTGAAGACCCTAGGTGATAAAAATTATTCCTCTAAAGCAGTGATTATTTCTCCTTGAAAACTAGGGAGGCTTTACCTCCCCTGTAAATTCTGGGAAATGATTGGTAAAATATGCATTTTCAAACTTCATAAATGTAGTCATGCAAATAATTTCTCAACAGTATCTTGCTCATTAATATACTGTTTAATCCACTGCAACCCTCTATTGTCATGATGGGGTTCAGGGTTCTAACACACATGCAGAACACAACGGAGACAGATGAAAAGTTTGACTGTTTGTTGAAAATAAACACAAGTTTTATGAGTAAAGCAGAGTAACAGATCCGGGACTGGTCACACAGGATTCTCTGTAGAGAGGGACAGTTAGGTTAGCCAGGATGTGGTAGATCTTGGTCTAAGGAATTGTGCAGGTTCGTACCCGTGACGAGATTCTGATTAGCAGCTGAGGGAGGGAACCAGTTGGGTCTAGAGGCTTGAGGTTGGCAGAGGGCTAAGCAACGGCAGGGCTCGACTTCAGACCTTTCAGTGTTCAGATCCAGAGTCTTCTTCCGATCCTCTTCTTGAGGGCAGGCAGGCAGGTTCAGACAGTGAGATTCTTCAGGTGAGCTCCAGAGAGCCGGCAGGCAGATTTCAGCAGATGAAACTCTTCCAGAGTTCCAGGGTTCAGTCAGGTTTCTTCCTAGGAGGCAGAGAAGACAAAAGCTGATCAGGTTCAAGCTCAAAAGTTCAAGGGAGTCAGAGAATCAGACAGATTGATTGGCTCAGGCTTCGCTAACCATAACTGGCTTAACACTCTGGCGCTGGAGTGAAGTCCTGCCGCTGCTTATATGCTGGTCTCCTGATGACTGATGGATCGCAGGTGTGGTTGTCAGCTCAGCTCCAGGAGACCTAGAGGCGCCCTCTGCTGGAGGAAGGTGGACAGACCTCCAGATCCCAACATCTATGAGAAATCCCTGTTAAGTTTAAGCCCCAGTCTATTGAGGTAAGCAACGACAAAGTAGAGCCCTGGCTGGATAATACGTCTAAATACGTCACTTCCAGTGAGGCTAATGCTCTTAGATGGTCTATAGAGCAGGGGGGGGGTCGTGAATCTTGCTGCTCGATGCTGATTGGCAAACACACTGAAGGATTTTTAGCTGACAGTGGCCAGACAGCGAGAAGCTTTTCCTCACAATTCGAGAGGGAAAAGTGATCATTCAGAGCAGTTATCTTGTGCTGAACACTTGACATGTTTTCTAGAGTTTATTATTTCAAAGCTCTTCACAACAGCTATTTTCACCCATTGTGGTGATGTCTTTTATGAGTTTCACCATTTCTTAATGCAGTCAGTGATGTTTGGATTTAATTTACACCACTGAGCCTCCCCTGTTTCAGAGAGCTGCAGCCACAATTGCCTTAATGGGGGAAGAGTTGGCCTGGTGGTTAAAGCAGTGCTTGTGCTCTGAGGTGGATGCAAGTACCAGGTTAAATCCCCACAGCCTGCACTCTGGGTCCCTGAGCAAGACCCTTAACCCCACACTGCTCCCCGGGCACTGCACAATGGCAGCCCACTGCTCCCCAAGGGCATGGGTTAAATGCAGAGGTACATTTCTCCAATGTGAGATCAATAAAGTTCAATTGTTATTATTATTAAAGCCCTATTCACACGGGATTAGTTTTACCCAGGGGCCACATAGAGTTTTTCATAATGACAATGTTTTTAATCCTGTGCGAATGCCCCACGTCAGTAATTTGGAAAGTGTGATGCTTCTTACTCTGTGATGCAATCGTCTTAATCTTTCCATCCTCTCCATTTTCCTCACTTCTTTTTTCCAGACTGGCCTTCTTCTTCTATTCTTTATTTTTTCCTCACTCATGGGGCGGGGAAAGTGGCCTATTCAGCCACTGGTCCTTCAGCCAAAACTGCGACACACTGTTGCAACATGCTCATGAAAGCTGATTAAAACCATGCATTTACAAAATGGTCAAATCATTCTATGTTTGGCCCATTTTGGGATTATTGATGGCAGAGAGACCAAAATTGTTGTACAAACACGATACTTGTACACCTGGCAACACTAACCTCCTGCATACAGCTGGCTAACGCTGACATTAACAGCTCCGACCATATCCTGGGGATGTCTGTAAATAACAGCAAAATCTCAGGCTTGAGTTATCCTGTGAGAATGCGCCACTTAAAAAACTGAGATTAGGGGTAATTTATTTCCTGCATGAGGTCCCGAGGTCAAACTAATCCCGTGCGAATAGAGCTTTAGTTTGTTGTTCATTTGGAATAATCGAAGCCTACATCTGATCAGTGCTGTGTGTTACGGCTAATGCAAGCCAGCTGTAAAACAAAAGGCTAAAAAACCAAAGAAAGCCATTCTTACTTCATGGTGCAGTGATGTGATCTACCTGTGACCAGATGGCTACATTTCTACTATACTGAGTTTTCTACCCCTGCCTTGGTGTCCCACAAATTGAAAGAATGTCCAGCATTTGACAGGGCCAAATATTGAAGAGTAAAAATATTCAAAACAGTATTCTTTGCATTTCTTAAATGTAAAAAAAGCAGCGCTGCAGTCATTGCCATGGTTCTGCAAACACAAAGCAAAACCCCACATCATGACCAACCTGAACTTGGTGCTTTCAAAATAAAATATAACTTTTAAGGGATTTTATGAAATACTAATAGATAAAATTAGAATAAAACTATGTTTAAAAATAATAAATAATAATTTATTTAGTTTGCCTAAGCTTGTTTTTAATTGTATGTGTCCATGTGTTGCATGTGTTAACTTTTTTTCAGATCTGGCCACCCTAGATCCTCATTTTGCATCTGATGCTGCTCCTTCCGTTTAGAAATTTCCTTTGATGCCATACCTTATTAGCCGTTAGGGTTTTGCTGCGCAAAAGAATTTCTAAACACTCTGACTAATTGAATTTCATGCCCCCCCATTCCTGTGCAAATCACAGAGAAGTCTATTTGCATTGGAGTTCAGCAAAAATAAAATACGTTAACTGCGATGGAAATTTTACTTTACAAATGACTGACATCTCTGATTCACATGGAATCAAAAGCACCCCCATTTACACAAGAATTACAGATGTAGTCCCTAGGTAGAGATATTCCAGTCAGAGCAGGGAATATTATGTTGTATGATGGTCAACCCTAATAAAAAATAAAACACTCAAACTAATGCAAGGTTCATGCAGATGATTATAGTACATAGTCTTTTGAAATATAATGTGGATGTGTTTTTTTAATGGAAGGAATTGGATATGATTAACCAGAGGAACTGGATTGAAACTGAATTAAAAAGTAAAAAAAAAAGAATGTATATTCAGAAGTATTGTTGGCAACTAAGTGCTTAAAGGAGGTAACGTATAAAAAGAGGATGATTTTGCAGCATTAATACAGCAGACTGTTCATGTCTTAGGCTTGAGCTGTATCAAGTGGCATAGAATGATTTACAACTTGAGTGAAGAATAAAATTAACTAACAACATGCAGAATATGACATAAAACGGTGCACCATCTGGTAGAAGCCAGGCAACGTTCTAATAGAAAAACACACATTAAACATATAATGGACGGGTAAATTCTTTGCAATGACCCTCACCATTCGCCATTTCAGATCTTATTCCAGATACAAGTATAAGCCTGAGGAAAACTATGCACTTAAAACAGCACAGCTGAACCTTGGATTGCAGGCAGACCAGATTTCTAATAAATCCTCAGATGACATGGGTCTTGGTGTATCAGCCTGGATGATCACATCTGAATTATTTTGATTGAACCTTGATTTGAGTGCTTTTGACTCCTTGGCATAGAAGTTTTTCTTCCATCAGTGTAGCCTGCTGTCCTCAGAAGACCTCTGGAGAGGACAGTGTTCTGTATGCAGACATACAACACTAGGCTTGGCTGTGGGGAATGGCTAATGCAGCACAGATTCCACAGCGCAGAGGGACCACTGATGTGGACAGGTTTGTTGTACTTGGATGATTAATTTGGCAGTAACTGGTCTCAGTGCTGATCGTGACTAAAATGAGCTGGCTTTGATTCTTCACACCAGGAAATACCACACTTCTTACATTATAATAGGAAATAATACATGATTACTAAACAGGCATTTTAAAACCTACTTTAGGAAATGAATATACCAAAGATTGTCTAATTGCAATTTGACTGAAAATCGTAAGAGTATTTAGGTAATAAGCAAGATGTGTATCTGTGTGTGTGGTCTAACAGTTGTTATATTCTAAGCTCTATTTTCCCAACATATAATATGTTTTGAGGATCAATCTCTCATTGTGTGGACAAAGCCCAGGTCCAAAAAAGAAAAAGGGCTGTTTCTTGATAAGGGGTTAGACATAGAACTAACCCTGGGGTTCCAGTGAGCTGTTGGACTCAGATCATACAGGGTTTGCATCACAATGCAATGGTGTACTTGTAGGCTTCAAATATGACAATAAACCAGTGATTATTTGGTCATTACTACCCAGGTCTTGTGTTTTTTATTTCAGAGAAAAATGTCATCCCAAGTCTGAGCATGTAGTCTTCTACTTGTAAATTCAACTGGATCCCCTTTGCTTTTTTATAAATGACTTCCTGCCTCCCTTCCTGATTGTCGTGGAGCTAGTGGCAAGGAGCAAACGGCGACAATAGAACAGCTGTTTTTTTTAGAGAAGCAGCGAGCGCTGGCCCATCTGGGATGTTTCACAAATACTACTGTGGAGCACCAGGTAAAATTGTGAGTTGCGACCAGTTGCGAAGGCATAGCTTAGTCGTACCATTGTGCTTCCACATCCTACAGTACTGAGAGATGAGGTGTGAATTGACTGTTGTGTGTTCTTGTTTTTCGTACATTGTGGGGCATATTTTCTAGAAAAAAACACATTGTGGGGGACTGACTACTCCTTTGCGGGGCCTGATGCCTGGAACAAATTAAGGGAATTGCCTTTTTTGTGTCAGGGATAACGTTTGGGACTAAGATGTGAACTGAGTTTAGGTTAGGGTTAGGGTAAGGTATGAACCCGTAATGGAGAGTTTTAGGTTAAGGATGGAAGTTAGGGTGTAGAAATTAATAAAAGTCATTGAAAAGGCCCCGTAAAAATAGTGATACAAGTTGGTGTGTATGTGGTTCATCTGACCTAGTGAATCAATCTTCGGATGGATTTTTTTAAAATCACAGATGGATGCAGCCTGAGAGCTATAATTTTACCGTAGCTGTAGTCGACAACTAAATCTCCAGTCTCAACAGGATTATAGTCACTGATTTAAAAACTTCCTCAGTTCCTCAGTCCGCTGTTAAATAAATCTGCAGTTTTAGTCTTTGAAGCCAAAGTCCACACTTTAAGCATCCCCAGTGAGTAAGGTTTTACCACAAAAAGTTTAAGGAAGAAAACAAATTACTGAACAAATAGTGGCCAACAGCTGTGTCCCAGAGTGAATGAGTTGATTCATGCAGTTGTTATAAAGTCTTAAATCAGAGTTATTAGACTGTAATCCTTTATTACAAGACAACAGCGGTGACTGGATTTCTGGCTGTTTTATGGTTACGTGGCCTTCCCTTGGTCCGGTATGATAACAGTTTTCACCACATGTGCTTTGCACTAAAAATAATTGCATGCTTATTGAGTAAAACTATGCTGCTTTTAGACACCTAATCAGTGTCATTAGGTAAAATTTTAAAGTCATGAAAGCCTTCACGCTGTAATGTTTAATTAACACAACATTAACAGGACTGAGGGGATAAGTTTAAGAAAACTGGGAACAAAATGAAATGGCATGCACAAATAAAAAAGCAATGACAGTTTTCTTTTATGGCAGAGTCAGTGACAACAATGATGTTTAATAACTGGGAGCAGTAACACTGGGTCTTGGTTACATTTCAGGGAATCTATGTTTTCACTAAGACCTGCAGACCACCCTCCCTTAATCTTGTCACTCTGTCT